TATTTTATATATATATATATATATATATATATATATATATATATATATATATATATATATATATATATACACACACACACTATTGTTCAGAAGTTTGGGGTTGGTGAGATTTTTGAAAGAGTCTCTTCTGCTCACCAAGGCTGCATTTATTTGAACAAAAATTTGGTGAAAATCAGTAAAATAGGGAAATATTTAGACACGAGAAGCACCACCTGAAGCTGGACATTAATTACACTAAAAACTCTAAACTATCAATCAGATGACAGAAGAGATGGAGTAGATTGATTGTGAAACAGGTTTTAGAGAAATATGCATATCAAATATGATACACTAGGGTTTAAATTGCATATAACCAAAGACTAAAACCTAAACTTAATCCAAACTTTACCACTTTATTTTGAAGCTGCATTACAATCATTGCTGTTGCGTTTAAGAACCTAAAACCTAGTTAAATGATTTAATTATTAGTTTGAAGTTTTTGGTATATTATTTTAGGTATCTACTGCATAATTGATCATTATCCCAGACACCTGGTTTTATTTATTTTTTTTTATTTTAAAACTCATTATTTCATGTGCATGTATTATCATGGCAGTGCTCTTTAGTATCAATGAGGTACTATTATAATTTTTTTTTTTTAAGTATTTTAGTAACTTAATTTTATTTGTGATTTTTATTAGTTTAGTTTAGTTTAGTTTTTTTAAACATGTCCATATAGTAATTACAATTTTTTTGTTTGTTTTGTTTTAATTATTAGGAACGTAGCTGAAATAAAATGAAAAAAAGTTTAATATATATTTAGCTAATATTTAAGTTTCAAGTAACAGATTTAATTAATTTATTTATGTATTTGTTGTGGTTTAAGTTTTGACTATAATAACCCTGCTTTGTGGATTTGAAAGCACACAGAAAGTCATTCACAGTTGATTTTCCTGTGTTTTTCTGTCTGCTGAAGTTTTCGGTGAGCCGTCGTGATCTGACAGGCCAATATTTCTGGCGTCCCGTGTCTTTATTTCTGCTGTCAGATTTAGATTCCAGACGCGGGTCAGGTGAGGCTGTTTGATCTCTAATCGTGAGAGATTGTGTTAGCGTGCTGCGCTCATATCGCCGCGCGTCTCTCTCTAATCTAATGGCTGTGTTATGAGGGGTTTTTCTGACGGGTCGGACAGATTATTGCGTTCCAGCAGCTGTTTATCATTCCCACAGCCGCCGTTCATTTCAGCGCCGGATTCGATCAACCTCTCGTTTACAGGCCTTTATACAGACGTCTGATGCTCTGCTGTCCTGGGACGAGAAACTGTGTTCACAGTGTTTTATGATAATATCGTCTGTTCATCTGAAGCTCTGGTTTTCAGGGTCAGAAAAACACGGAATTTAGTCATGAAAACATCTTGAATTAGACAAGAAAGCTGACCAAAATGCCTTTATTAAAATGTTTTATAATGCTCTTATCAAGACAATAACTGCTTTATAAAATAGGTATAAAATGATGCTACTATAATGAATTAATAAAGAAAAGTTGCTAAATGCCGCGCAGGTGATGATCTGTAAATATGGATGCCTTTAAGGTGCCTTGGAATAACATCTATAATAAATATCTTGGTTTATGAATATGATAATCATTACTGTTACTATACTCTTCTGTAAGGCTATTTTTGTGATTTGTGTTTTTAATCTTATTGCTTGACATAAATATTGATTTATTATATAGTGATAATATATTTATAGTATACAATTATATATTTATTTTATTATTTATTTCATTTACTGTATTTATGGCAGATTTCATGTAATGTTCTAAGTAATTATAACATAAGAATAATACGGATAATAATAAGAATAAAACAGTGTATATTGTTGTATTTTATAGTGATAATATATATGTTCATATTATACTATTTAGTTTTTTTATTATTTTAATTTGTAATGCTTGTATTTGTTGATGTTTATGTAATGTTGCTTGTAAATATAGCAATAATAATAATAATGTGTTTGTATATTTTATAGTGATTATATATTTATATTACACTATTATATATTAGTTTTAATATTTTATATATTTTTGTTAAGTTGTTATTATTAATTTATAATTCGGTACTGTCACTATGCTCTATATTATATGTAAATATATAATATTGAAATACAGATTGCTATATAATTATAATATATTTATTAGTTTGTTCATATTTATTTTGAAAATCACACTATTATTGAGGCATGTCAGCAGTCTCTTCACAGTGGTACCCGTCTCAATCCCACAATGCACTAGTGCAGCTGCAGGACCCCCTCCCATGATTCAGAGTGGCTCATAAAGCTCTTAACACACACACACACACACACACACACACACTTCAGGTGACTTCGCTGCCTTTTCTTGCAGTACAGTTCAACATGAAGCATCAGGAACAGGAAGAGATGGGGTTTTCTTACAGGAGATGAGCATGAACGAGATGTTTGAGCAGTGATATAGAGAGATAGCTGTCTAAACCTGTGCCTGTTTTTATTTCCACAGCATATTCACGGACATAAAGGACCCATAACGGCGGTGTCCTTCGCACCGGACGGGCGTTATCTGGCCACCTACTCCAACGCTGACAGCCACATCTCCTTCTGGCAGGTGAAGACCCCTGACCTCTGACCTCTAGATTCAAAGAGTCACTTATGGTTGCAAACAGGATGCAAACAATTTGAAATTCTAATAACTTTCTTTCACCAGAAAAGCATAAAATGGTCAAGATAAACTTTAAATGTCAGCTAGATAAACCCTTGTTTGAAAAAAAAAAAAAGGATTTCAAATTTGTCATTTAGAGACTGAGAGCGGCTAAATTATATAAATATAATTATAAATAATATAACACTTAATAAACAAACTCCAGCTGGTCCAATATAATATATATAAAAACACAAGTAAATATAAAAGTTAATATAAATGTAAAAATAAATAGAAATAGCAATAAAAAAATATAAATGTACATATAAATCTAAAAATATATATAATATAAAAATATAAATTAAAAGGTAAATAATGTAAAAGTAAATATAGATATAAATGTAAATCTAAACTAATATTAATGTAAATGCAAGTATACATATAAAAATATAAATATATTATAAAAAATAATACATAATATAAATGTAAAGTTAAATTATGTAAATGTAAATATACATATAAATATAAAAATAGAAATGTAGAAAATAAAAGTATAATATAAAATTCAGAAATGAATGAACTATAAGAGTATATTTTATTAGTTATTATATTTTAAGAGTAGTCTATTTTATGGTGGTATTTGGCATGAAATGTGAAGCAGTGTCCTGCAGTTAGATGTGATGTACTTCACCTGAATCTATTTAAACATATTTGGACAGTCATCTGAACAGAGACTCAGAGCGTCCCGTGAGCGTCTGTCCTGAGCAGGTCTTTCAGAAACACCGTCGAGTCGTCTTCTCTCCTCTTCTCTTCCTGTATGTATGCGTGTGTGTGAGAGAATTGTCTTCCAGGCTAATGGTATCATTACTGTAAGGCTAAACCGGGCCGTCTGAATGGTGTGTGTGTGTGTGCTAATGAATTCTCCAGTCCTCCAGGGTCTGCAGGCGTCCGCCTCTCGCTCGCCCAGGCTGGGATGAGGGCGACTGGCCGTCTGACACCGATGAAGCCCTACCCTCTCTGGAGCACCGTGTGTGTGTGTGTGTGTAGACTGACTGGCTCAGTGTGCTGGAACTCTAGAGCTTCCTGTGTGTGTGTGTGTGTTTGTTTCGCTTATCTTACATGGCACCATCTCATGTTCAGATTTGTCAAATTTGTTCAGATTTTTGTCTGTTTTGTCTATTGTTGCATGTAGTGTCAGAGAATCAATACAAATATAAAGAATATAGGAAATATAAATAAAAAATACTAATGTGATTATAAATGTAAATATAAATTAAAAACATTAAAATGAAGATTATCCAACCATCATTATATGCATCTTTCTATCCATCCATCTTTCTATCTATCCATCCAACCATCATTCTATCCATCTTTCTATCCATCCAACCATCATTCTATCCATCTTTCTGTCATCCATCAATCTTTCTATCCATCCATCATTCTATCCATCTTTCTATCCATCCAACCATCATTCTATCCATCTTTCTGTCATCCATCAATCTTTCTATCCATCCATCATTCTATCCATCTTTCTATCATCCATCCATCTTTCTATCCATCCATCATTCTATCCATCTTTGTCATCCATCCATTATTCTATACATCCATACATCATTCTATCCATCTTTCTATCATCCATCCATTTTTCTATCCATCCAACCATCATTCTGTCCATTATTCTATCCATCCATCCATCATTATATCTATCTTTCTATCCATCCATCCATCTTTCTATCCATCCATCATTCTATCCATCTTTCTATCATCCATCCATCTTTCTATCCATCCAACCATCATTCTATCCATTATTCTATCCATCCATCCATCATTCTATCCATCTTTCTATCATCCATCCATCATTATATCCATCTTTCTATCCATCCATCCATCATTCTATCCATCCATCAATCATTCATTCTATGCATCTTTCTATCATCCATCCATCATTCTATCCATCTTTCTATCCATCCATTCATCTTTCTATCCATCCATCCATCATTCATTATTCTATCCATCCATTCATCCATCCATTATTCTATCCATCCATCCATCGTTCCATCCATCATCCATTATTGTATCCATCGATCTATCCATCATCCATTATTATATCAATCATCCATTCATCCATCCATTGTTCTATCCATCCTTCCATCCATCATTCTATCCATCCATCCATCATCTGTTGTTCTATCCATTCATCCATCATTCTATCCATATTTCTATCCATCCATCCATTCATCCTTCATCCATCCATTATTCTATCCATCATCTATCCATCATCCATTATTATATCAATCATTCATTCATCCATCCATTGTTCTATCATCATTCTATCCATCCTTCCATCCATCATTCTGTCCATCCATCCATCATCTGTTGTTCTATCCATCATTCTAGCCATCTATCCATATTTCTATCTATCCATCCATCCATCCATTGTTCCATCCATCCTCCATTGTTCTATTCATCCATCCATCCATCCATCCTATAAATGTCAAGCCTTTTTAAACATTTTTTCAAACAAGGGTTTATCTAGCTAACATTTAAAGTTTGTCTTGACAATTTTTGCTTTTCTAGAAAAAAAATTTAATTTGAAGTTCAAATTGTTTTAATCCTACTTGCATTCAAATTCCAATTTTGCATCTAGATTGCAACCTGTTTCCTGTTTTCAGGAGCTGAATTGAAGTGTAAAGGCATTTTCACTTCTGTTCTGAATGATGCAGAAACCTGATGTGTATATATTAGGGCTGTAAGTCGATTACAATTTTTTATCTAATTAATTACATTATGTGTTGATTAATTAATCGAATTAATCGCAAATTACATTTGGCTGTGAAAATATCCCCAAAACATTATTTAAAGCTATTTTTGTGTTAAATTAAAAAGTATTACGTAGACATTACAAATAGTGACTTTAGAAAGAAATATTTTATTTGATTCAACATAAAATGTAACGTTTAGGCTACAATGGCCCAACATGAACTATGGAACATAAAAGAAGATAATTTGAGAAACATCTCAAATGTTTCTTTTTTTTTTTCATTCATGCAATGAAAGTCATTGGTAACCAAAACAGCTTTGTTACCAACAGTCTTCAAAATACCTTCTTCTATGCTCCACCAAAGAAAGTAAGTCATTCAGGTTTGAGTAAATGATGGCATAATACATTTTTTTTGGGGTGAACTATCCCTTTAAAGTTTTTTTTCCCTTTTTCCCCACATTTGCACTCATGGTATTCGGGCATAAACAGCACTCGTGTGATAGGCCTGTTGCTCTCGCTGCTCGCGTGATAGAAATATGAGACAAAAACTCATACAGGAGCATTTTTGCCCCAATATCTTGAATTTTAGGGCATAACTGCATTTGTGGAGCTGTTGCCCTGCATCATAGGCCTATTTGTCAACAGTCAACTGTATAAAATGTAAGATGTTGTACAGATCTGGAGGCGGAGCCAGTGCATTAGCTGCGTTAAAATATTTTATTTGCGTTATTTTTTCATAACTAATTAACACATTAAACGGACAGCCCTAATATATATACAGTATATATATATATATATGTGTGTGTGTGTGTGTGACCCCGGAGCACAAAAGCAGTGTTAAGTCGCTGGGGGATATTTGTAGCAATAGCCACAAATACATTGTATGGGTCAAAATTATAGATTTTTCTTTTATGCCAAAAATCATTAGGATATTAAGTAAAGCTCATGTTCCATGAAGATATTTTGTAAATTTCCTACCGTAAATATATAAAAACTTAATTTGTGATTAGTAATATGCATTGCTAAGAACTTCATTTGGACAGTATTTAGTATTTAGATTTTTTTGCACCTTCAGATTACAGATTTTCAAATAGTTGTATCTCAGCCAGATATTGTCCTATCCTAACAGACCATTTATTCATAATAACATAACAGCTTATTTATTCAGCTTTCAGATGATGTATATCTTCTTATTACTGGTTTTGTGGTCCTGGGTCATACATATACAGTATATATATATATATATATATAGTACTGAGTGCAGGTCTTCATTCACGGCTGCGCATCTCTCTCTGTCTCAGATGAACACGTCTCTGTTAGGCAGCATCGGGATGTTGAACTCGGCTCCTCAGCTGCGCTGCATCAAAACCTATCAGGTTCCTCCGGTCCAGCCGGCGTCGCCCGGATCCCAGAACGCCCTCAAACTGGCCCGCCTCATCTGGACCTCCAACCGCAACGTCATCCTCATGGCCCACGACGGCAAGGAGCACCGCTTCATGGTCTGAGGGGTCAGGGGTCAGGTGACCTTTGACCTTCCCAGCTGAGCTGTCAACTGGTTTACACTCTTCCTTTCATTCCTCTGTTTATTTAAAGCATTTGAAGTTTTGTTCTCTTTTGACTATTTATGAAGATGATAAAGGACTGCAGGTCACTAAAACGTATTTTTGTGCTTGAAGGTCAAGCGAGGTTTTGCTCAGGCGAAGCAAATATGAGTTTTATTTTAGTTTTCTCTCCGGTTGATTCGCTGAAGCCGTTTTATCATTCCAGCTATATAAACACACATTTGACTCGTTTGGTCTAAAGCAGAGAAAGATCCCTCGCTGACGTTATTTAGAATCGCAGAATCCTCGTTCGTGCTGAATGACTGGAATCATATCGTGATATCGTGTATCATAGGAATGGTTTTTGTTTGCGCTCGTGCTGTAGTCGTGAACTCTTCGGTTTGCTGTTGTCTGTGTTTTTGTGAGTCGTTGGTTGGTGTGAAGTCACTGGCACTGAAATACACGTTTAAAAGCAGTCGCGTTGGCTTTCCCACACGCCGTCTGCTGTAATCCACTGATAGAGGTGTATTCTAGAGACACGGCTGTGAAATCTGCATCTGCAACGTCACAGAGCTTTGAGAAATCCCTGTTAGCTGAATTTATTCAGGATTTCATCCCACGATTAACAGCAAAAAATTATTTTATATTTGCGTAAAGAGCTATTTTAGGATCATTAAGGTTTTTTTGCATTGTGCAGTTTTTTTCATAAATCTATTTTTAGGATCCAATTCTGATTACTGTAATATAAAAAAGTAATTCTCATACTGTAATAAACATTTAAAATAAGTCAAATTAATTATAGCAATGAGCATTCAAATCAGCAAATTGTAATATCATTTAAGTGTTTTCATTTTTTTCTTATGAAAATAACCATAATCAGAATACAAAAGCATAATAATTAACTACATTTGTGTGAATAGGCAATAATTCAATCGTAATGATCTTAAATCTTAAAATAGGCAGAAATTTCATTATGCAAATTATAATATCTTTTTTTCACTGCTGGCTTAATATATTCTGTATTTCATCCCTAAATCAAATTAAGAAATCAATTATATATATAT